GCCTCCCGAGTACCTGGAATTACAGGCGCCTGCCAATAGGCCTGGCTAATTTTTGTATTTTTAGTAGAGATGAGGTTTCCCCATGTTGGCCAGGCTGGTCTCAAACTCCTGACCTCAAGCAATCCGCCCACCTCGGCCTCCCAAAGTGCTGGGATTACAGGTGTGAGCCGTCACGCCCAGCCTTTTCCTAGGACTTTTGGAGAGGTGGTTGGATTGAGAGAGCAGTGGATAATCTGTCAAAGTGGTTTACTTACTTTATTTATTTCCTTTATAAGAAGTACAGTTGGTTTACAAATTAAATCATATATGATGGCTGCATGTGTATTTGTTTTTCTGAGTCTGACTTTAGGGTTTGTTTATACTAGTATCCTAAGGGTAGAACTAAGAGTTAAGACTTGTTGTGAGTTTTCTAGTCTTGGCAATTTTTCCAGCCCTGCGATTTGTACTGTCTTCCACATAATCTACTCTTGTACTCTTTTTTTTTTTTTTTTTTTTTTGAGACAGAGTCTCGCTCTGTTGCCCAGGCTGGAGTGCAGTGATCCAATCTCAGCATACTGTAGCCTTCGGCTCCCGGGTTCAAGCGATTCTCCTGCCTCAGCCTCCTGAGTAGCTGGGATTACAGGCATGCACTACCATGCCTGGCTAATTTTTGTATTTTTAGTAGAGAGGGGGTTTCACCATGTAGGCCAGGCTGGTCTCAAACTCCTGGCCTCAAGTGATTCACCCGCCTCAGCCTCCCAAAGTGCTGGGATTACAGGCGTGAGCCACCGTGCCTGGCCACATAATCTACTCTTAATATTACCTCCTTAAGATTGATGCCTGCCGGGCATGGTGGTCATGCCTGTAACCCCAGCACTTTGGGAGGCCGAGGCGGGTGGATCACAAGGTCAGGAGATTGAGACCATCCTGGCTAACATGGTGAAACCCCGTCTCTACTGAAAATACAAAAAATTAGCCGGGCGTGTGGCATGTGCCTATAGTCCCAGCTACTTGGGAGACTGAAGCAGGACAATCACTTGAACCTGGGAGGCAGAGGTTGCAATGAGTTGAAATTGTGCCATTGCACTCCAGCCTGGGCGACAGAGCGAGTCTCTGTCTTGAAAAAAATGGAAAAAAAAAGACTGATGCTCACTCCTCTCTCAAACTGAGGAAAAACTGGAGACAGAGGGAAGAACTCAGCTAAGCTCCTGATAAACCACTTACTTAAAGCTAAGAGATTATCATGATAAATGATAATTGGGATTATCATGATAAATTGGGATTATTGTCCTGTGTTCTTTTATAAGAAACAGGCGATGCATGTTTTTTTTCTTTTTTTTTTGAGACCAAGTCTCACTCTTGTCACCTAGGCTGGAGTGCAATGGCGCAATCTCAGCTAACTGCAACCTGTGCCTCTCGGGTTCAAGTAATTCTCCTGCCTCAGCCTCCCGAGTAGCTGGGATTACAGGCAGGTGCCACCATGCCCGGCTAATTTTTGTATTTTTAGTAGAGACGGGGTTTCACCATGTTGGCCAAGCTGGTCTTGAACTCCTGACCTCAGGTGATCCGCCCATCTCGGTTCCCAAACTGCTGGGATTACAGGCGTGAGCCACTGCACCCAGTCAATGCACATTTTCTTTGGCACACATTTTAGATGTTTATTAATAAGTGTTGGTCGACTCCCAAAGGAGAAATCTCAGAGGCCATGGTTGTTATCCCATTTTTAAAGGTCTTCCACGGGATGCTTACGGAACCTATAGCAATGGACTCTGCCTTTAATGAAAGTGAAATATAGCTCATCATCCTTGTCTCAATAATAACCCCATTTCCTCATTGGTGAAATGGGAACAATTATAATAAATGTGGATTTCGTCTCAAAGTACATCCGATGGTCCGGTCTTCCACTGTTTTTGATGACTCACCTTCTGTTGATCCCTAACCTATTTCACCGGGACATTAGGAGATTTAATTAAAGTGTGTAGAGGATCTAAGCTCTTCAGAGAAACACACAGCATTATTATGGTAGATAACACTTCTGATCTTCCATAATCTCTTGAAGTTAATGAAACCAGCAATATAGAAAGCTGAGGCTTTAATATAGTCAGAGTTTTATGAAGACACATCCATACAATACTTCATTAGTAGTGGTCACCGTTGTGGGATTGAGAGTTCAGAATTCAATTCCTAGGAACTTTCTAATTGTTCTAAACATTTTGATGTAACTTTTTTCCTGTCAATACACACATTCGAGAGATCAGTTAAGTATTCAGGTCATGCTGGTTTTACTCAACTTTGAAGGCTTTTCTATTTTGTTTTCAAACTATGATTATTATAAGTTGGAGCAGGGGGGAAAGGAGTATTTATCCATGTCTGTGTTTTCCCTGACAGACAGTCCTGCTTTTAAGATCCCTGAGGAACAAGGAAAATTACTTTTGTTTCCTGACTCATCTCCTGGTCTCCGGTTTCTCCAGCTTTCAACCTGTACTCCAACTGCCTACTTAATGATCACCCTAATATAGTTCTCATCCTCTGGGTCAAGCCGTTGTGTCAGTATTTTTCACTGTAAGCTAATGTGCAACCTACGATGAGCCTTTATGGGATGCTTTAAAGTCTGGAAGCATGATTCTCATTGCTCATATCATCAGAATGTCTCTGTGACATGCCACCTTCTCCAGGAAGCCTTCTCATTGCTCCAGTATCAGTGAACGTTGTCCATACCCATCTCACAGGGCACTTGCTTTGTACCTGTATCCGTCCATTTTCATGCTCCTGATAAAGACATACCTAAGAATGGGTAATTTATAAAGAAACGAGGTTTAATTGACTCACTGTTCCACATGGCTGGGGAGACCTCACGATCATGGCAGAAGGGAAGGAGGAGCCAAGTCACATCTTACATGGCAGCAGGGAAGAGAGAACTCGTACAGGGGAACTCCTCTTTATAAAACCATCAGATCTTGTGAGACTTAAACACTATCACGAGAACAGCATGAGAAAGACCCACCCCCATGATTCAGTTACCTCCCCCAGGTCCCTCCATGACACATGGGAATTGTGGGAGCCACAATTCAAGATAAGATTTGGGTGAGGACATGGCCAAGCCATATCAGTACCTCTCTCCTAGCATTTACTGCACTCTGCTTTGTATCATAAATATCCTATTAATATATAAAACAATGAGTGTCTCATTACTTACCATGTATGTGCCAGGCACTGTGTTGGTGGCTCCTCTCTTAGGGCCAGGATTGTTTCTTTTTCATCTTTGTTTTCCTGCAAATCTTCTGTTGGAGTTAGTAGATCCTCAGCAAACATTTGCTACATTACATTGAAACGTATGCAGGTGAAATTAGCACATGTTTGGAAAGCTGATTTCCTTGCATTCCCTTCCTATGCCCTGAGAACTTAAGACCCAAGTTGCCCCCTCAGATCTGTAAATCAAAGCAGCTTTTCTTAATATTTCAGGAAGCTTAAAGATCATTGGTCACAAGCCTATAAAAAGGACCTAATGCCAATGAAAACATAGGTTTGCTTGTGGCTGAAATTACATTCCATCAATGTGGAATTGAAGGGTGGATAGAATGGAACTAAATATTTGCTCATTGGTTGAGCAGACATTTATTGAGCATCTTACTCTGTGCAATCGCTGTTTGTATTAGTTCGTTCTCACACTGCTATAAAGATACTACCCAAGTCTGGGTAATTTGTAATAGCAAGAGGTTTAATTGACTCACAGTTCTGCATGGCTGGGGAGGCCTCAGGAAACGTACAATTATGGTGGAAGGGGAGTCAGGCATGTCTTACATGGCAGCAGGAGAGACAGAGGTGGGTGAGAGCAGGGAAAACTGCATCATAAAACCAGAAGATCTCGTGAGAACCCACTCACTATCATGAGAATAGCATGGGGAAAACCGTCCCCATGATCCAGTCACCTCCCATCTGTTCCCTCCCTCAATATGTAGGGATGATGGAGATTACAATTTGAGATGAGATTTGGGTGGGGACACAGAGCCAAACCATATCACTGTTATAGCTTAGAGTTGCACATACTGTTCCAAATATGGGAATGTAGTTAGTTATCAAAACAAAATCTAGTTACAAGTACAGCTCTCCCTTTCATCGGTTATGGTGTCGAGTTTCCCAGACAGGTGTCCAGGCCGGCAGCAGACCACAGCAAGGCAAGGGCTAGAGTCAGAATGGAAGTCTCTGAGCTCCCTGCTAGTGTCTGTCAGACCTTTTTCTGTTATAACTACCATTTTTTTTTTTTTACACCAAACAGGCTAGGTTAGACCATCTAAAAACATGTACCTGCACTGATTCTTTGTTTGTTTGAGACAGAATCTTGCTCTGTCACCCAGGTTGCAGTGCAGTGGCACCATCTCAGCTCACTGCAACCTCCGCCTCCCCTGTTCAAGTGATTCTCGTGACTCAGCCTCCCAAGTAGCTGGGATTGCAAGCCGATGGCACCACGCCCAGCTAATTTTTGTATTGTTAGTAGAGATGGGGTCTCGCCATGTTGGCCAGGCTGGTCTCAAACTCCTGGCCTCAAGTGATCCGCCTGTCTCTGCCTCCCGAAGTGCAGGAATTACAGGCGTGAGCCACTGCACTTGGCCTGATTCTTTTAAACTCTGGATTAGCAAAACATAGTATTGTTATTTGTGCAACTGAATCACACAGCCTTTCTGTGATTCCAAGTTTATTTAAAAATTAAATGGCCTTAGAAAGAAATTCCTGCGGATGGTCGATACATTTAAAACATTTGCCTAAGAGCCATTATCCAGGTTTACTTTTCATAAAGGAAGACTTACGACCATGAATCACCTGCAGTAATTTTACTAAGTATTTTTAGTTTTCTGATTTTCAGTTGACTTCCACCAATGCAGATAGGAAATGTCTTTGGAGATGAAGTCACTTGCTGTTAGTTTTTATATGCTCAAGATTCTGGCTCTTACACTACTCTCCCCTTATCCATGGTTTTGCTTTTTGTGGTTTCAGTTACCCGTAGTCAACCGCAGTCTGAAAATATTAAGATATCTTAAGACGCAGAGAGAGAGAGAGAGGAGAGAAACCGCATTCACGTAAGTTTTATTCCAGCATATTGTTATAGTTCTTCTGTATTATTATTAGTTATTGTTGTTAATCTTTTACTGTGCCTAATTTATAAATTAAAGTTTATCATAAGTATGTATATATGGGGAAAAAAACATAGTCTCTACAGGGTTAGGTACTATTTGCGGTTTTATGCATCCACTGGGGGCCCTGGAACAGATTTTCTGTGGTTAAGAGGGCACTACTGTGGATAGTAAGGGAAAGTTAAAAAAACAAAACAAACAAACAAAAAAGTCCAAAACAAACAAACAAACAAAAAAGGCTGTGTATTCCTATGTAGTTGGGTAAAGAAGAATAATCTAAAATGGCACATTTGCTGCCAGGCACAGTGACTCATGCCTGTAATCCTGGCACTTTGGGAGGCTGAGGCAGGCGCATCACCTGAGGTCAGGAGTTCGAGACCAGCCTGGCCAACATGGTGAAACCCCCTCTCTACTAAAAATACAAAAATTAGCCAGGTGTGGTGGATGGGTGCCTGTAATCCCAGCTACTCAGGAGGCTGAGGCAGAGGAATTGCTTGAACCCGGAAGGTGGAGGTTGCAGTGTGCAGTTGCACTCCAGCCTGGGTGACATGAGTAAAACTCCGTCTCAAAAAGTAATAATAGTAAAATAAAATAGTATATTTGCTGCCTTCTGATAACTTGGAGTGTGAAGATACAGGAAAGTTGAAAAAACAAACCTGGCTTCAAAATCCAGAGCCCAAACACTTTTGGAAAAACATTTTCCATGCTTTTTAATAATTTTTGGCTCTTCCGATTTGAGAAAATAATGTGATATTCCATAAAAGGGCTGTGCTGTGATCTCAGAATTATCTATTGTCAGAAATATATTGAATAAAGATTCCAGGAAAATGGCCAGGCATGGTGGCTCATGCCTGTAATCCCAGCACTTTGGGAGGCAGAGGAGGGCGGATCACTTTAGGTCAGGAGTTTGAGACCAGCCTGGCCAACACGGCAAAACCCCATCTCTACTAAAAATACAAAAATTAACCGAGTGTGGTGGTAGACACCTATATCCCAGCTACTCGGAAGGCCGAGGCAGGAGAATCACTTGAACTCGGGAGGCGGAGGTTGTGGTGAACCAAGATCAAGCCACTGTACTCCAGCCTGAGTGACAGAGCAAAACTCCATCTCAAAACAAAAAAGATTTCAGGAAAATGTTTAGCTCTTTTTTTTTTTTAAATAACTTTTAACCTCTATTAACTACACATTTATGTTGTTCTTTTCTAGTGCTAATTCCACTTCTATTTATAATCTCTTTGCTTCTGCTTTAATTTTTATTTTCTTACTTTATTATATGCTTCCTTTGTGTAAGTTTCCTCAAACCATTTGTGCATAAAGCTGGACTAAAACAAGCAAGCACCTAGATGTTCATTAAATACATATTATGTACCAGGCACTGCAGGGAACTGAGGACTGAGAGGCAAAGAAGATGTGACTCACCCCAACGAACTCCAAGTCTGATGGAAAAGACATAAAACAGAAGAAGGTAGCTGGGTGCGGTGGCTACTGCCTATAATCCCAGTACTTTGGGGGCCAAGGTGGGAGGATCCCTTGAGTCCAGGAGTTCAAAACCAGCCTGGACAACATAGGGAGACCCCTTTCTCTATAGAAAATAAAAAAAATAGTTGGGTGTGGCAACATGCACTTGTAGTCCCAACTACTCAGGAGGCTGAGGTGGGAGGTACACTTGAGCCCAGGAGTTTTGAGGCTGCAGTGAGTTATGATCATACCACTGCACCCCAGCCTGAGTGAGATTGAGACCCTGTCTCTTAAAAAAAAAAAAAGGCCAAAAAACGAAAATCAGAAGAAGTGCATTATTAAGGTGAAACTTGAGGTGCTATGACAGTACCTAGAATTGACATCTTACCTGTATTGCTTGAGCAACAAGGAGGAACCACAGGACAGTCTTCTAGTTAGGAAGAGTCCTGAAGGCTGAGTAGAAGTTGGCCAGAATTGGGAAAGGGTCAGGGAGGAGAGTGGGAGTGGGCTGGATTCGCAAGCTGAGAGCAGAGGCAGAAACCTGCTCAGAGACCTTGGGACGGGAGAAGATGTAAAGTCCAGGAAAGGGCAGGCGAGTGCAGAGTGGGTTCACAGGGTACTATCAGACTCTATGTTCAGATTTGTTTTTTAAGGTTAGAAGACTCAGGAAGAGACATGTTCATGTCTGCATTTTAGAAAGAGCCGTGTATAGGCTTCCTAAGGTGGACTGGAAAGCGGAGAGATTGCTGAGAAGCTTTTACTGGAATCCATCTGTGAGGTGATGGTGGTTCCTGCTAAGATCGTGACTGTGAGAGGGAAGGGGAAGAGATGAACCGAAGAGCTATTAAAGTGGTGGAATTTACAGGATTTAGAAACTGAGTGGGTGTGGGTGAGGCAGGAGTCTTGGATGAAATCTGAGTTTGTTTTGTTTTCTTGTTTGTTCATTTCTGAGATTGTGAACATGACTCACTACAGCCTCGAGCCCAGGCTCAAGTGATCCTTCTGCCTCCGCGTCCTGTGTAGCTGGGACCACAGGTGCGTGCCAACACCCCTGACTAATTTTTGAATTTTTTTTCTAGAGACGAGGTCTCACTTTGTTGCCCAAGCTGATCACGAACTCCTGGGCTCAAGCAGTCCTCCTGCCTCAGCCTCCCAAAGTGGTGCTGGGATTACAGCATGAGCCACCGTGCCTGGCTTTTTTTTTTTTTTTTTAATTTAAATAGGAGCCTTTGTAGATGTTGCATCAGAGAGAATGTGGAAAATGTAGACATGTCATGTAAATTACCAAGTGCTGGGCTTTTAATTATCCAATAAGGTTGCTATCTATTTTGTCATTGTCGGCTAAACTAGTCTAATTAATCTTAACAGAACTCTGTATGAAGTGGTGTTCGTAATCAATATTTGCCTTTCTCTAAGCAGATTCAGGTTGGAATTGCAGCCTTTCAGTCCAGGGGCAAGTTTCTTAACTTTTCTTGGCCTCACGTTCCTCATAGAATATCAAGCCAGCAATGCATTTGTGAGAATTTGAGATGAGATATGTAAAGTGCTTTAAGCAACACATAGGGGCTTAGTCAATGAACACAAGGCATGATTGTTGGTTCCCAGCTTCCAAGTGAGGCCAAGGGACTCTTATCTTTGTATCTCCCATACACCTTACCTGCCTCACATAGCATCTTACACTTATTAACTGCTTAATACATATTTATCAAATCCATAGTAACTTTTTATTTCATCTTGGTGAGGCTGTTTGCCCTCCATTAAAAAGGTTTCCTGGGAGGAAGCGGTGGCTCACCCCTATAATCCCAGCACTTTGGGAGGTCGAGGCAGGCAGATCACTTGAGGTCAGGAGTTCAAGACCAGCCTGGCCAACAGAGTGAAACCCTATGTCTACTAAAAATACAAAAATTAGTTCGGTGTGGTGGTGGGTGCCTGTAATCCCAGCGACTTGGGAGGCTGAAGCAGGAGAATCACTTGAATCCGGAAAGTGGAGGTTTCAGTGAGCCCAGATTGTGCCACTGCACTCTAGCCTGGGCGACAGAGTGAGGCTCTATCTCAAAAAAACAAAAAATAATTCTTATGGTTCTATTCTTTAAAAAGATTTCTTTCTGTGGTTCTATTTTTTTCGTTTATCTGTACTTAAAATGTATTGTTCTTGATTCTCTTTTTTTTTTTTTAAACTTACAAATGATGACTCGCACTTCCTAATTTCTGATTAGGAAGTTCCCTTCATGACACCCCCGCCTCCATTTCCACTGCTAACCCCACACGTGAGTGTGTTCAAATGAGATCTTGTTCCTGGTCTGGCTTAAGTGTGATAAAAATTATTCAGGCCATGAAGCTTTTTCCAGAATTGTCACTGGGCTTCAAGACTTCCACCAAAGTCAAAATCAGTCAGCTATGGACTACCTCAAACAGCTTGAATTGAATTAAAATGAACCATAGCGCTAGAAAGGCATGTAATTTGATCTGAAATATTGCGCAGGAACAATATCAAATCTCAGGCAAGACAGGCAATTAGCAACTTTGTGATAATAAAGAATCTGAAATAGCTCTTGACTTCATAACTCTCTGCCTGCCTGTGTGTTTTGGTTGGGGGATTCAAAATCTATATTTTACTATTTTACCTGTGACATTAGTGTAAGCATCTGATGGATTTACACTAGTAGCATTGATCTTTTCCCATCTTACTACCTTTGATTGATTATAAATGTCATAAACATTAAAAACTGGAAAATACATTAAATTGTAATGAAAGAAAAAAAAAGATCTATCTTTACTCCTGCTCAAAGATAAGCTTAACATTTTAGTATCTCTGTCTGTTAAGGTCTACTTATATGTAGACACATACACTCCATATAAATTTTTATCATACGTAAAATACTTAAACTAGTTTTGTGTTTTGCTTTCTCAGGTAATTAAAGCATTTTTCTTTATTTTCCTTTTTCTTTTCTTTACATCAAAGAGCATACAGAATATAAGAGCATTTTTCTATGTCATTAAATATTTTTTGCAAATATAATTGAACGGTTGCATAATGTTCCATCCTGTTTATATGTAAACATTCCTATGTTATAAGACATTTTGTTGCCATTCTATATAATGCCACAATGGACTCTTTGAGCATAAATCTTTTTTACACATGTCTAAATATTCCCTTAAGACAGATTCCCACCAGCGGAGTAACATTTTTAAGACTCAGGATACTTACTGCTAAATTACTTTTCAGACAAGTTGGGCAAATTTGTACTTTTGCCAGCGTGATGGCTAGGAGGTTGTCATATCTCCACGCTCACTACAGTCTTCCTGTTTTCACAAACAAGTCGATGAATGGGCTGGATTTGTTGTAACCGTCTCTCAAGTGATGCTTTCTATGGGATTCCCACAATATGACTACTGCTAACTTTTTAGGACTAAGTTACCGTTTTAAATGGAAAGATTTTTTCTTGAATGTGAAGCTGGATATCTATAAATAAAAAATTGCAATTGGTTATTTGGTGTTTCTTGCCTTGCTGGTTATAAGTTCCTTAAATATTATACAGATATTATTTTTATTATTTAGCATTTATCCCATGATAAAACTGGAATCATGTATGCCTAATACGGATTGACTGTGTCTCCACCCACATCTCACCTTGAATTGTAATAATCCCCACGTGTCAAGGGTGGGGCCAGGTGGAGATAATTGAATCACGGGGTGGTTTCGCCCATACTGTTTTCCTGGTAGTGAATACATCTCAGGAGCTCTGCTGGTTTTATAAATGGGAGTTCCCCTGCACAAGCTCTCTTCCTTGCTGCCATGTAAGTCATGGCTTTGTTCCTCATTCGCCTTCCGCCATGACTGTGAGACCTCCCCAGCCATATAGAATCGTGAGTCCATTAAACCTCTTTCCTTTATAAATTACCCAGTCTCAGTTATGTCTGTATTAGCAGTGTGAGAACAGACTCATACAGTCCTTCTCCCCCACCACGTTTTGGGGCTTATCTGGGGATAGTAATTCCTAATAAATACTTTACTTCTTTGGTATTTGGACTTTTGGACAGCTTTTTGAAATTTGAACAGTTTTCTATCATGTTGTACCCTCTGGAATTTATGAAAGTAAAATACACTGTGCTTCAGGTTTAGTTTGTAGAAGTGAGAATTTTATGTACGTAGCTTCTATTCTCTTCATTTCTCACTAAGAAGTCAAAATTTAAACCAGACTTCCTGTTTGTCTGGACATAAAAGAAAAAGTAATTATTTGTAGAGTAATTTAATCTAGTGGGTCTTAGGGCATAGCTCTCCATATTATATGCCCAATTTCCTTGCAAACTTCAAAAAAGGAAAAAACTTGATTGGAATTTTAGAGTTAGAGCACATTGTACTTTATTCACTTTGAAATAAACCGTTTGGCTCTTTCATTCTTTAAGGTTTAAACTAGGTATTATACTTTCCTTCTCTCTATTCAGTTCAATTGAGTCTCAGTGATGCAAACTAAACACTAGATACTATATAACTATTGGGGATAAAGGAGACCTTCTGCTCACGCCACCTCTAGCCTGACGAAGCCCCTGATGAAGTCAAAGGAAGACCAATCCATGCCATGCTGGGATATACTGTGGAACCTCATGATGTATTCATTATGAGTCCTCATCTCCACCACACCCCAGCTAGTAAGTTACTTAGATAAACCAAATCTATGCACAAATGAACTGACTATTAAAAATTAGTTCTCCTATCTCTTGAACCCGGGAGGTTGCAGTGAGCTGAGATTGCACCACTGCACTCCAGACTGGGCGACAGAGCGAGACTCTGTCTGGGGGGGCGGGGGCGAGGGGGGCGGAAATTAGCTCTCCTGTAAGCATTACTGTGTCCTTAATATCAGTTTCTGTTCCTGCCTTGCATCTCCGCGTCTTTTTCTTTGTCGCTGGCCAAATGCTGTAAATGCTCATAAATATCAAGTAATATGATGCAAAGAGATTGCAAACTAAAACTGAATACCTTAAAGATGCAGTTTGTCATGAAGCTGCTGAAAGAGATACTGGAGAAATGCCAAAATACCTCCGAAGCCAAAGGCTGGCTGTGTGACTGTGGAGCATTTAAAAGCGTCTCATGACTTAGTTTCCTCACTTGAAAACTGGAATAATACCTGCCTGATTAACCACATAAGATTTGAAATAAAAAGCAAGTAAAATGATACCTAAAAGCACCACTTAAATAATAAAGTACCGGGCTGGGCGCGGTGGCTCAGGCCTGTAATCCCAGCATTTTGGGAGGCCGAGGCGGGAAAATCACGAGGTCAGGAGTTCGAGACCAGCCTGGCCAACATAGTGAAACATCGTCTCTACTAAAAATACAAAAAAAATAGCCGGTTGTGGTGGCACGTGCCTGTAATCCCAGCTACTTGAGAGACTGAGGCAGGAAAATTGTTTGAATCCGAGAGTTAGACCCTTAACAGCCCAAGTACTTCAGAATAGAAGAAGTTGCATAACAACCAGTTAATAGAGGACCTTGGTAAAAAAAATGATAGTCTTCAAAAATATTTTTGCAGAACTTTTTTCATCACTGGGGTACAAAAGTCAGGAAAAGAATGTCGTCTCACATAATTTTGTCAGAAAAATGATCTTCCCTCCCCACCAAATCTAACCCTCAGCTAATTCTTTGTTCTAACCATTAGGGCATATTTATAATGATGACTTATTTTGATTTTTTTAGCATAAAAATCTTAAGCCCTTTAAAAATGACATATTATTTGGTGTTGGTCTCTATATTTTGATTATCTACTGCTATGTAACAAACCACCTACCCGTTCGGGGTGCTCTAACAGAATAACATAGCCTGGGTGGCTTACAAAAAAACAGAAATTTGGCCAGGCGCAGTGGCTTACGACTGTAATCCCAGCACTTTGGGAGGCCACGGCGGGTGGATCACGAGGTCAGGAGTTCGAGACCAGCCTGGCCAGCATGGTGAAACCCTGTCTATATTAAAAATACAAAAAATTATCTGGGCATGATGGCGTGCACATGTAATCCCAGCTACTCAGGAGGCTAAAGCAGGAGAATCGCTTGAACCCGGGAGGCAAAGGTTGCAGTGAGCTGAGATCACGCCACTGTACTCCAGCCTGGGTGACAAAGTGAGACTCCATCTCAAAAAAACAAAACAAAACAGAAATTTATTTCTAATCATTCTGGAGGCTGAGAAGTCTAAGATTGAAGCCCTGGCAGATCTGGCGTCTGGTGAGGGCCTGCATCCCGGTTTGCAGATGGTCATCTTGCTGTGTCTTCACATGGTGAAAGGAAGGAGGGAGCTCTTTGGGGTCTTTTTTATAAAGGGACTAATTCCATTTATGAAGCCTCTACCTTCATGAGTTGATCACCTCTCAAAGGCCCCACCTGCTAATACTGTTACCGGGGATTAGGATTTCAACATAGGAATTTTGGAGGGACACACACATTTATAGCCATCCCTAAGCCAGAGGTTACAAACAACCACCATTTTATTGTCCCTCATCATTCTGTGGGTTGGTCAGACTCTGCTAGTTGCATTTAGCTGGGCCGGACATCATTTGGGATCTTGGCTGGACTAGAATGTCCAGGGTAACTCACTTACCTGCTACTTTCACATGGACAGCTAGAAGGCTGAGATGAATGGGGGCCCTGGGATGGCTGGGGCCTCTCTCTTTCTCTCCGTATTGTCTCAAGGCCCCTTCTTCTCCATGTAGGAAGGTAGCCAGACTTCTTACATTGCAACTCAAGGTTTCCCAAGGTACAAAAGCAGAAGCTGCTTCCAATGATATGGGTCCCAAACTGGCTTGGCATCACTTTCTTCACATTCTGTTGGTTAAAGTGATTCACAGGCCAGCTCAGGTACAGGGTGGAAGGGGGCTACATAAGGATTTGAATATTGGAAAGTACTGAAAGTCATCATGGAGACTTAACCCACTGTAGGAAGCACATTCATTGAAAACGTCATTTCTAGTACTGCTTATCCATGGATAATGAGGACCCCCTGTAGCTGTAGTCACTTTGGTGCATCATTTCCAAAAACCTAATGAGTTGTAATGTCAATTGCAGCTGTCAATCTACTTTTAATAATCACAGGCCTCAAATGAAGAAATTCATTTACAGGATAAGCAAATTACAGCTTCAGTTTGGTTCATAAACTTCAGCCCCTTATTGCTTATTTTTTGAAAGAACAAGTTTATGCTGATTTGTCCAAGGATACTCAGCAAATATTTGGAAAATAATTCAAAGTTTGATGTATAATCATAATCCTATCGCTTCTTGGCCTTTTGGCTAAGATCAAGTATAGTGTCTGTTCTTATCAGTTTAATCATAATCCTGAACATTTGTATAGTATGTTATTATTAGTATTATTATTATTATTATTATTATTTTGACATGGAGTCTCACTCTGTTGCCCAGGCTGGAGTGTAATGGAACGGCCTCAGCTCACTGCAGCCTCTGCCTCCGGGGTTCAAACAATTCTCCTGCCTCAGCCTCCTGAGTACCTGGGACGACAGACGCATGCCAGCATACCCGGCTGATTTTTGTATTTTTAGTAGAGACAGGATTTCACTGTGTTGGCCAGGCTGGTCTCAAACTCCTGACCTCATGATCCGCCTGCTTCAGCCTCCCCAGGTGCTGGGATTACAGGCCTGAACCACCACGCCCGGCCCGGTACTTCATTATTTAAGTGGTGCTTTTAGGTATCGTTTTACTTGCTTTTTATTTCAAATCTTATGTGGTTAATCAGGCAGGTATTATTCCAGTTTTCAAGTGAGGAAACTAAGTCATGGGAAGCTTTTAAATGCTGCACAGTCACACAGCCAGAAAACATTGGAGCCAGGACACCAAGTTTGGGTTCTTTTTTTTTTTTTTTTAGACAGGGTTTTACTTTGTTGCCCAGGTTGGAGTGCAGTGGTGTGATCAAGGCTCACTGCAGCCTCAGCCTCAACCTCGCAGGCTCAAGGGATCCTCCCACCTCAGCCTCCAGAGTAGCTTGGACCACAAGAGTGCCCCACCATGCCCAGCTAATTTTGTGGAGACAAGGTGTTGCTATGTTGCCCAGGCTGGTCTCAGACTCCTAGACTCAAGCAATTGTCCCACCTCAGCCTCTCAAAGTCCTGGAATTATAGGCTTGAGCTGCTGTGCCTGGCATTGGGGTTTTCTTAAAACCACCCCTCCATCCCAGAGTTCTCTCTCTCTCTCTTATTTATTATTATTTTTTTCTGATACAGGGTCTCATTCTGTTATCCAGATTGAAGTGTAGTGGTATGATTTTGGCTCACTGCGGCCTCTGTCTGCCAGGCTCAAGCAATCCTCCCACCTCAGCCTCTCAAGTAGCTGGGACTATAGGCACACAGCACCATGCCTGTCTAATTTTTTTGTTTTTGGTAGAGATGGGCTTGTCATGTTGCACAGGCTGGTATCAAACTCCTGAGCTCAAGCAATCCTTGATTGCCTTGGCTTCCCAGAGTGCTGGGATTACAGGCATGTGCTACCATGCTGGGCCTGGAGTTCTCTTTTAAACATTGAAGGATGTGAAATGGAAATTCATTCTGTCTTTATATATATACATATATAGATAGATAGATGTCTGTCTGCACATGCATATAAAATATACATTTTATTTTATTTTTTATTAGAGATGGGATTTCACCATGTTGGCCAGGCTAGTCTTGAACTCCTGACCTCAAATGAGGCCATCTCGGCCTCCCAAAGTGCTGGGACTACAGGCATGAGCTACTGTGCCCAGCCTAAAATATACATTTAAAAATCCATTCTGAAAGTATAGCTTTCGTTGTTAGTTAATGATCTATAGATGGTCAATAATACCCATTTCAAGTTAAAGGAATCACAGATGCGTGGATGCCATCTGGAAGTTACCTGGTCAACCCCTTCATTTCACAGATGGGAAAAATGTGTGGAGTGGTCAACTAAGTTGCCCAAACCCACACAGCTATTTAGTGAAGAGCCATGGATTCTTGCCTCTGAACCCATCATTTTACCAACTAGACCACAGCACCTCAAGAATAGCCTTCCGGATGAAACTGTGAAAGGAATATAGATATTTTCCATGTTTAAAACATCTGTCTATGGTTTGCCAGGACTTAAAAGTAATACAAATTTTAAGCACTTTACTGATCAAATACAGCTAAAGACCAGTTGTGCAACTGGCTCGAAGTATTGCTATTTCTGGGAGGCAAGCTATGACTAGGGTTCCACGGGACAGAAAATCCCCTCTAGAAAAAGCACAGGACGGGCTTCAACGTGGACAGTTCTTTATGAAGAAAAGCAAGTGATAACCATTGTATTCCAGTAGCTTGGTGTATGTTTCACTCTCAGGAATATATGTTGCTAGCAAAATCAAGAATTTTACATCAAACATTCTCAAGGCATTGAGTGTGGAACCTTCTGAGAATGAAAAGGGCAGAGATGAGATCTCCGTTTTTCAAATTAAGTAAAATTTAAAGGTCAGTTATTCCGACAGTGTCTTGACAATAATATTGCACTTGTCCCAACTCTAGGATGTTACTATAGTGAGTAATGTTGCATTTCGATCTGGGTTGAAATACTCTTTTCTTCCTCCCGCTCCCTTTTCCTCCCACATTTCCTTTTTTTCTTTTTTCTTCTGGAGTCAGAGTTTTGCTCTTGTTGCTCAGGCTAGAGTG